AGGACGGAGTTCTTACAGTTCCGCTGCAGAATAAGCTTTAAGGAGTGGCAAGCTGGCTTCCGAGGGGCGCATGCGCACACTTACCCCGGCCCGGGCCCCCGGGGGACCTGGCCTCTTCTCCTCTTGGGGACTCGGGGGGGCTTCTTCGGGTCCCCGGGTCACAAGAATGCGAAAATGCTGCTGCCCTGCGTTTTGATCTTGCCTGATCTTAAACATGCATCCTTGGCCGCCCTGCGAGGTCCTCTCCCCGGAGTTCGTCCTGCGGATCTCCGGGACCATCCTGCCGGCCCGGGACAGCGCCTCTGGGGCGCCTCGCTCTTCGGTGGGGCTCCCCCGGCCCCCCCGGGGCTGGGTGGGGTACGAAGTACTCCTCTCCAGACGAATGCGGGGATACCTCACCAACCTGTCCCCCTTGGTGCCCGTGAAGCCAAAATTGAAGTCACCACCCAGTCCCGGAGCACCTGGATGGGGCTGCTGCAACTGGAAGACAAAGCATCGCTTCCCGGAGCTTCCGGAAGCGTCTGGAACGTGCTGCAGGGACCAGCGCCGGGGCTCGGGGGTGGCCGGGCCGTCGGGGCCGAAGGGCAGCAGGCGCACCTGGCGCACGTCGGCGCTGGAGGCGCGGTGCTGGATGGGTCATCGGCGGGCCCGGGCCACCGCACGCGGGGTCCGCACGTGCCGTTGACCTGGGGCCTCGGATCCTGCAGCGGCCCGGGAGGGGGGCTCCCGGGGGTGTCCCTCGGGGGGGGCTCCTTGGAGCCCCTGGGAGCCGAGGCCCTGGCGATGGCGGCGGCGGAGGCCTTGTCCCCGAGGTCGGACGCCGCACTGGGGGGCCGGTCGCCGCCGGGGCCCTCGGGTGGCCCGCACCCCTCGGTGGCACCGTCGGCGGCCTTGCGCTGCAGGGAGATCTGCACGGAGGAGCTGCGGGTGGGGCGCGCGTCCACCCCCGCCAGGAGCTGCGGGATGAACATGGACGAGCTGCGCTTGAGCGCGCCCACCCCTTCTTGCAGCCCCCCGCCGTCCTCCCCCCCTGCGGGCTGCGCGCAGGGGTGCGGGCCGCTCCTCCGCGGGAGGGTGTGGAATGCCATGGAAAAGTCGTCTTCTCTCTCCTGGTCTAGGATCTCTGACTCGGGGGCTGTGTTGCTACGACCAGAGCCAAAATGAAACCGAAGCCGATGGGCCATGGTGACCAGGGGGGCCGGGAGGGGAGAGAGGGCCGGCGGCAACAAGGAGCCCGGCACTGCCAGAAGTCAGAACCCAAAGACACCAACTCCAAGAAAAAGCGTCCCATCTGCCAAACCGTTAGCACTGCGACCAAGAGCGACAGATAGCAGAAATAGCCCAAGTGGCAGCGGCATTCCAGGCATGATTGGATAAGAGCAAAAAGCTCTGGTCTGCACTGTGACAGAGGGTAGGATGGCCAGAACCACATGACCGCGCGCTCCCCCTCCAATGCCCGCGCCCGACGCCGCTCTGCCCCCCTCGCTCTCGCCCGCTTGCTCGCTCTTTTTTTTTAAACAGCCACAGCCTGAAACAGCCCCTCCGCAGCTGCTGCCGTCCGGTCAGCAGAGGCGGCCCAGCAGGGAGCCCCGAGCTCACTTCAGCCACACTGCTGCGGATCGCACCGCATCACCCGCACCGGGACACTCTTCCCTTCCCAACTCCACACCCAGGGTGGTGCCAGGGACCCCGGATTAATAAACACCCAGCATACCATGGCTGCATCTCACCCCCAAACTGACAAGCCAAACACTGGCTGCACCTCACCCCCAAACTGACAAGCCAAACACGGCTGCACCTCATCCCCCAACACTGACAAGCCAAACACGGCTGCACCTCACCTCCCAACACTGACAAGCCAAACTAGGACTAGGAGGAGGGAGAAAAAGAAAAAGAAAAAAAAAAACTTTCCCAAGTGTCAGATGTTGTTTGTTATTTATGATATTACTACACTACCATGACGGAATGCAAACTCATAAAACGTACTATAAATACGATTACACACCCCACCGAATGAGTGTCCTTTTAATGGGAAATAATTAGACCATGATCTCCCAGTAACAAAATAGCTAGGAGGAGGCGCAAAGGGGGGGAGGCAGGGTACGGCATACCACAGGGCCAGTTGTGTCTGGTCCACCTCTGGGTACTATAAACATTTTTCATTAAAAAGGGGGAGGGGGTGCATCTCACATATGATATGACCGTCAAGACACAGAAGTACCAGAGAAAAGGAACTCAGCTAGAAAAAAATATTCTCTCATACATGCCAGGTTGGAGAAAAAGAACACCACCAATACCTCTCCCCTTCACCCCCCCACCCCCCCCAAAAGGAAGGAAAACTGGAGGATTATGAATGCGGTTTCTGTAGTAATTTAACAGAAGAAATGCTGCCTGGAGCTATCCAGTAAGAAGTCAGCAATATTTCCATAGTTGGGACGCAAACGTGTGGAATCTTGCTAGGTTTGCAAAAGTCAAAAAAGAACCTAATATATACAAGTGCACATTCAAAAACCTGTCATCAATTTGTAGCTCACTTGGAAATTGTTTTAGACTTGGAAATTGTTTTAGAATTATGATTTTCTATGATCCAGAAACAGTTATTCAACAGAGATTTTTTTTCAGTGGGGGGAGGGGAAATATCAAGCTGCAAAGAATGATAAACGCTTATTTTAAAATCTGCACATCAACAGCTTCAGAGTGGAGGGCATAGAAAATTAACCTTGTGTTTACAGACATCCAAACCTGGTTTCTAGAAGCTTGAGTTTTCAATGCCAAAAATGACCTCTACGAGAGACATGGAAGCTGGTTTGTTTAAATGCTAGAATGTCCAAGCTGTACTACAGTCACGTGCTGTTCTTGCTGGATTAATAGCCAACAAAGAAAAAAGCTACCAGCAGCAGCATTCTCTACATAGCAGAGACACTGTGGATTTTGCCTGGAGCAAAGCTAAGTGTTAATATTATAAAACACCGTTCAGGTAAACTTTGCATTCACAGAGGATTTCTTAAGAGCTTTGCATTCAAAGTCCTTTGTAGTTTCCAAGGACAGATCCCACTGCAATCATTATTTTAGAACATGGAAAGGGGAAACTTTGAAAACAGTGATTGTCTTACTAGAAGAAAATTAAATGGTGAAATCAAAAGTATCAAACAAGAGGCACTTTTCCCCAAAATTCCATCTTGCTCAGTACATATAGTCAGGGTTATCTATGGAGCCTGGGATCTGCAGGCAGTTACTACTATGGTACATTCACTGCAGTTCATGCTGTTCCTGTTGGATGAGCTCGAGGGGCAACTTCACACAAATAACAAAAGTGAATTTGTTACTTGGAGATGGTAATAATCATCATCCCTAAGGTACAAAAGTGTCCAACTGAGTACAAAGCCAACAAGATCTCATATTTATAATAAGATAGATCCTGAGATAAGTATGTCAGAATCTGGAAGTGTTATGTGTTGGTAAATAATGGCAAGCATACCAGATGGAATACATTCTTGAATTTTTAATAAGGATGAAAAGTTCTGCCTAGTTCAGCTCTGAGCAGAGTTGAAGGGACAGGGGTTGGACCCTGTGTGGATCTTTAATTATGTAAAAACTGTAGACCAGGGTTCTCTGATTTCTAAGGTCAGGGAGTTCCATAACATAGTTTAAGATGCCTCCTGCAGATATATCATGATATATTTTGTTAACCTCAGGCTATTTAAAAAATAAATCATGAACAAACAACCCTGGAGTTTCAATTGAATTCTGCAGAAAGAGGGGCTTGCAAGAACATCCCTTTTAACCAATCAATGCAGGTTATCAGGGAAGTAAATTTGAGTGTAACTGACTGTACTGGGTTTGGGTTTTCGTTTTGGTTTAGTTTGGGTTTTTTTTTTTGGGGGGGGGTCAGTTGTAGGGCTTGAACTCAGGGCCTGGGCACTGTTCTTGACCTTTTGCCACTCAAGGCTAGCGCTCTACCATCTGGAACCACAGCGCCACATCTGGTTTTCTGGTAGTTAATTGGAGAGTTTCACAGACTTTCCTGCCCAGGCTGGCTTGGAACTGAGAACCTCAGATTTCAGCCTCCAAGTAGCTAGAATTACAGGCATGAGCCACTGGTGTCCAGCTTACACTGAGTTTTAATATCACTTCTGAGGGTATTTTAAAGACATATATTATTATGTTGTTGGCATCATTGGAACACTTGACTCTGGGGTTTTATCTAAGCAAACAAAATACTTTAAGCCACATTTAATTCTAAAATTTCTTCTCTACAGTGAATAAATCTTCGAGTCCTTGCATAGATATCAGCAACTCTGTGCATACATTCTATACATCAATCTCAATATTCAATTTGAGTTTATGCCAGTTATATACAACCAGGCATCTCTTTGGAGATGTCTGTGTTTTGGAGGGGGCTAGGTTTGCCATCCAGGACCTCACACCTACCTGCTAGGCAAGTGCTCAGCCACTGAATTACACACACCTGGCCCTTATTTTTGTCTCTTTAAAAGTACTTTGAAAGATTTCTCTTGAGAGTGTACCACTTTTAAAATATTCCTTAATTGTACCTGCTAAGTGTGGATTCTCCACGATGTCCCTCTACCCCCCATCAACTGTTAATTAGATTTTTGTTTCCCCAGAGAGGATCACCTGAGAGTTGCTTTGAATACAACGGTGTGATAGTCTGGCATAAAACCAAAACCTTATAAGGCTGCCTTCTCTGCCTCATGGCCTCCTTACAAAGTTGTCTACTGTTCTGTATTCTCAAACAAGAACCTACACATTCATGCTGAGTGCATCACGAGTAACTTTCATTAGTATTAACTGCTAAAACCACATATATGTTCAAATAATTTTTTGTTAACACTATTTGTGAAGATTTTGCACTTTTGTTGTAAGAAAAGTAGTTTTCACTTCAGGCATATAGGCTGTTGTCTGTGTGATCAAAACACAAAGTTTGAAAAACCCAGTATTTAAGAAAACAAGCAAAGTTTCAAAATCAAGAACTCACTCACCAATCTGTTTTCGTCAAATACTTCGAACAAGAGCCTGTGATTAGATGGGTTTACCTGGAAGGGATATGAATAATATTTCAAAAATGAATAGAAACCATTTGAAGCAGGAAATAAGGGACAGAAAGAAGAGAATCAGGCTTCACATAACGCACCCAAGTCAATGTATAATTGAAAAACAACCAACCTGCTTTTCTGGAAACTATGTCTATAAATAAAATCTTTTATGATTGATTTTGTTATTATTCTATCCCTAATATGAAGGCATATCAGAAAAAGATACGGCCTTTATCTTGCTTGATGGAGGGGGAAGAGGAGAGTCCCTAATTTCTTTTCATGTCTAGACACCAAGGTTCTATCCTCACAAAGACTCAGACTGAGGAAATCTGTTACGTCTAATAATGATAATGATGATGGTGATGATGAAAACATTAAAAACGCAGCCATTTGCCACTATGAGATAATTTTGAGGGTACTTTTCCTTGTTAAATGTTAGCATTGTATGATCTCATCTAATCATCACAGCAGCCCCCACAATATGTAACTATCATCCCGATTTCATACATGAAGAGTTAAAATTACAAATGAAGCCGCTTTCCCAGAAGCCCCAGCCAGTGTTGGCCAATGAGGACTGGACGCAGGTCTGTCCTTCTGTTCTCCCAGGCCTAAGCTGTAAACAATTAAAACCAGCAAGAACGATGTCCCCTTTCCCAGCAATGTTAGCCCAATGACAGAGTAACAGGCTTTGTTTTTGTTTTATTGGTCGTGGGGCCTGAACTCTGGGCCTGGGTGTTGTCCCTCAGCTCAAGGCTCAAGGCTAGTGCTCTACCACTTGAGCCACAGCGCCACTTCCGAGTAACAGGCTTTGATTTGTTTGCTTCTTTCTTTTTAGTAAAACCTCCCCCCAAATGGCTCATATCATCATCCAGGTTCATAGCATTTTCTAGCTACCAAACCGGCAAGACATGGTACCAGAGGTGAAATTTTTTTTTAATGTATACTTCTTTATTTATATAAATGGGGTTTTAGAACAATCATCTTATGTGGTGCTGAGGAATCGAACCGAAGGCCTCATGCATGCAAAGCAAGCACTCTACCACTGAGCCACCTTCTCAGCCCCGAGAGGTGAAATTTATATGGGAATCTAAAGCAGGGAACAAACCTATACCGAGGAAAGACTTCTCTCTCCCATGTGAGAGACAAGGAACCTATGGAGACTAAGAATCCTTCAGTCCTATTTTCCAGGTCACAAAACCTACAATCGCTAAAGCCAGAGGCATGACCCAAGCCTACTGCCACTAGGTCTTGGCTGCTTCCTGACACAGTATGAAATGAAATCACACTTGACCATGAGGCCCAGAGATCTCAACTTTTGCTCCTGGTCCCTTGGTCTGCTCCTGGCTGCTAGGGGCAGAGCCATCCGAGAGAGGACAGGTCTGCAGCTTACTCATCAGCTCTGCCAAGGGCTGCCTATCCTCAGGCTGAAACAGAAGCTGGCACATCGTCGGTACCCAATGAAGTTTTAAGGAGGGCACCAAAACAAAGATCTTCAAAGCATAACAACAAAAGGAAAAATTAAATGTATCTACAGCTTAGATGCATCAAAAGAAGTTTTGGCTATATGAAATCTCACATAAATACAGTTCAAATAAAAGAAGTGCAGATAATTTGGAATTTCCCCCAAAGAAGAAAGATGAATTTGAGAGTTAACAAAGGGCCACCTCTCAGTACTGAATTGCTTTTTGGTCCTTCACAGAGTAATTTAAAATACATCTGGCAGAGGCTAAACACAGGATCTACGAAGTATTAAAATATCAGTGCCATATTTCAGCTCTAAACATAATAGAAAACAGATGCAAGATACAGTCATCCAAGGTTGGAGCCCAGAATATTATTTCAACTGGAAGGAAGAGGGGACCAATATGTGGGTTTTGTGGCACTATTGTTCTTGGGTTTTGTGGCACTATTGCTCTTAGGATTCTGCAGCAATCAGAAGATTGAATCTGGAACATATTTAGGAGGCGAGCAGTGTTTTAACATTACAGCTAAAGGACAAGTTAAGTATTTTCATTTTGAAGAGGAAAAAATACCTTCTGTTTTTCAATTAATAGTTGGGCAGTTTACTATTTTAAAATTTTTGGTTCCAAAAAAACAGCAACCAGCACAAGGGCTCACAAAGCAGAAATCTCGGCTAACTCACAGATGAGAATTCAACTGCTCTAAAAGATTAGATATAAGGGCTGGGAAGGTGGCTCAATGGTAGAGCGCTTGCCTTGCATGCCTGAGGCCCTGGGTTCGATTCCTCAGCACCACATAAGCAAAGAGAAAAAAGCCGGAAGTGGTGCTATGGCTCAAGTGGTAGAGTACTAGCCTTGAGCTGAAGAGCTGAGGGACAGCGCCCAGGCCCAGACTTCAGGCCCCACGACTGGACCCCCCTCCCCCACCAAAAAAAAAAGATTAGATATAAAAGGCTGAGAAACTTTTTACTTTAGTCAATGGTATTGAGATTCCAGATACAATATTATATGATACACATTGATGCCCATTAATTATTTGAAGTACAAAAAAGAATTTTCCTTCTTAACTAGAATACAATTGGTCATCTTTATTTGGGGGTGTATGAGGTGAACAGCTATGTTGGGATCAAACAGGGGCCTGAAAAAAGTTCTAGGCAAGCATTCAACCACTGAGCTGCACCCCAGCTCCATCATTGGTAAATAATTAATGATTCAGTTTATTATCATGTTTCCTCTACTGTTTTACTCTCTTAAAACAATTTATCATATCTGCCACATAGAAATAATTAAAATATTGTTTTCAACTGCATTTTATCTTCTTTTTTTAAAAGAAAAGTTTGAGTTGAAAAGATAAAATATGGTAGTTTGTCTATTTTACCTCCTCCCCCACATTTCCAAATCTAACAGGCTAGATTTTGGGACTACTGCTGTTTTTCAAATCTGGGGTGTATTAAGGAGTTACCTAACTATTTCTCATCTTAAAAGGCATTTCTCATTTAAAATGTTATAGCTCTCCTTCCAGATGAACCTACTGTGATCTATCAATCTAGTGAGAAATAACAATTATGACCAAAAAATGAAAAAAAAACTTACTCTAAAATAAAATTCTTCATTCCATTTCGGGTTCAGCGTCTGGAAGAGAAATTATCTTGTGATATCTTTTACAGTCTTGCAAACAGTTGCTAGTACAAAGCAGTCTTTGTTTAAACTTATTTTTTTCTTGATAAAAAATTTTCAAAATGGCAATAAAAGCAACATTTAGTCAATTATTTGAGACTATTCTATAAACCAGACTAGATGAGAAGGGAGTGAATTTTTTAAATAGGTGATTCATAGCTATGAAACCATAAATTGCAAGCTATCACCAAAGGAAAAACACCGGGGACTTAGAAAGAGCTATCATCTGAAAATATGAAAACGTCTCCTTCAAGAAATTAGCATTGAAATGATGATTCCTATCAAGAAGGAAATGAACTTTGTTGAACAATTCTAACTTTCCTTCAAAACAAGTCTGTTTTGAAGAATAAAACTGTTCATTATTTATATGAATTGGGACATTTGAAAAGTATTTTATAGAGAATACTATTTAACAGATTTATATATACACACATACTTACACACTAGTTATAATCAAAAGGGAGGTATTTTTTTCTTTCCCAATTAACTAGGTTAAAAAAATATTTGTCTACTTATCCTTCAACCTTTCTTACCATCTAGCCATCAGCCATCTTTCTATGTATCTGCTTAAGTGCACATGAAATAAAAACATAGCAAAGATATTTCTTTCAAAACACTGATTCAGCCAGCATATTCTACAAAGAAACATATGCATATGTTCATATCTTGGCACAGCCATAATGCTCACATAGACATTCTCTCTTTTAAAACTTACATGTGAAATGAGAGACTGGAAAGTCTGCTTTATCTACAAGTCTAAGGTGTTCTGAGTCAAACAGATATTTGCTTTTATCAGTTTCTTTCCTTTAATAGAAAGAAGCAAAAGGGGGGGAAATCAGCATGGTGTACTGCACGCACACAAAAAATAGAAAACGGAGCTCACAGAACACTGAACCCACATTTAAAAAAGAACATTCAGCATTTTCTCCACCCACAATGCCACAGAGAATCTGATCCTAAATAATAGGGGCACACACTTTGGGATATGAATGGAGCCAGGACAGCAAGAAGGGGGGAAGGGGAGGGGCCAGGGCCAGAGGGAGACAGAGGCAGCCTTGCCTTGGGCTTCAAGTGACCCAAATCAGCAAGGGGGAAAGGGGGGCGACAGGAGAGGGAAGCAAACGACAAAAGAAGAGCACAAAAACGAATGACGGACCAAGTCAGGGCCACGAGGAGAGGAAGAGGCCGAGTCCTTGGCAGAGTGGGGTACACACATACTAACCAGGATGCTGGCTGCCTGGAGACCAGAGAGATACTCTCCACCGTGGGAAGAGAGGGAGGAGGAGGAGGAGCAGGGCGGATCTTCTGAAGAAAATACATGGCAATGCCCCCCCAGAAACAGGCTTGGATCCTTGGCTCCTGGCCAGCAGAAGACCAGGACGCCTGGCTGCCTTCCCTGTGAGGTGCCCCCGCTCCACTGGGAACAGAACAAGTGACAGCGCCTAGTACATGCGGGAACAATGGTCTCCGTCCTCCCAGGCCTCCTCCCACTCATCTCCACACTGCATTCTGTTTGCAAAACAGATTCTCACTGCTAGTCTCAATGCCAGGTGGAGGACAGACTGTTACTGCTGCTTCCTACACAAAATGACCTGGCTATGCTAGAGATCTGAGGTGTGTGCACGGGAGCTGTGTAATTTTTTAGAGCAGTCGTGTTACTCAGGAAATGTTTATCCACGTTAGGCTATGGGACTAGTTCCCAAAGGTAGGGAGAAAAATAATAGAAAGCCACAAACAACTTAAAAAAAATAAAAAAGCAAAAGAGAAACAATACTATGGAAAATAATGATAAAATATGATAGAAAAATATGCTATATATCATACAAAATTGACAGAAATCTTCATTAAAGTCCTCAAATACAAATAGGGGAACTAGATGACATAATCATGGAAACTAATATTTAATAAAATACTATATGTGAAATTTAGGAAACTAAAACACACACATAAACATGAGTAGCTTCATTATTAATATATTCTATGTGTTTTCATGCAGCAAAGAAAGTATTTCCCTTTCTCTGGTAACACTTGTTTCCATTTTTTTTTTTTGCCTGTGAATTCCACAAGCCATTCCAATTCATTAAATATATTTAAAATTTCTTTGTGCAAAATAGCAAGTTGACAAGAACTAATTTTTGCTTGGCTGTATTCTTAAAAGAAAAAAAAAGGAACACTTGAAGTAGGGCATATTTTCAAAATACTGCCTACAGTCATTTTTCATGGATGAACACAGAAAAGTTTGGCTGATAGATAATTTTTCGATTTAATGCTTGCAGGTGGTGAAAATAAAAATGCTGCCATCTTATTCTTTCAGTAGACACTTCTACAAAGCCAAAATACAGCATAAAATTGATAACTACTTGTAAAAATACAAGTTAAATGATGACTTACATGAATTTTAGAAAAGGACAGACAACTTACCTTTTTAATTGTTTTTGTTTGAACCAAAGCAAGTTCTCTGTTTTCATCTGCCACATACAATGAAAGCTTCACATACGGGTCACTACAAGAAAAGATTTCAGATTTAATACAGTTATGCTTTTCACTTAAAAATAGAAACATCAAGATAGCTATTATTCAGGAGGCTGAGACCTAGAGGATCAAGGTTCAAAGTCAGCCCAGTAAGCTTGAGCCGCCAAATTCAAACCTCTGTACCAGCAGGAATAAAAACAAAGCCTGGCACCAATGGCTCATGCCTATAATCCTGTTAAGGAGGCTGAGATCTGAGAATTGCAATTCAAAGCCAGCCTGGGCAGGAAAGTCTGTGAGACTCCTTTCTCGGATAAACCACCAGAAAACTGGAAATGGTGCTGTGGCTCAAGCAGTAGAGCACTCGCCTGGAGCTCAAGAGGTGAGAGACAGTGCCCAGGCCCAGAGTTCAAGCCCCATGACAGACCCCCCCCCCAAAAAAAGAATAATAACAAAACAAAAACAACAAAAAACTAGATGAAATGCAATTATCACTGAAATGCTATTTTTAAAAAATTAGGCAGTAACATTTTAACATGTCTACTAAATCAATATACTCTGAAATTTTTCCTATCAACCAGTATGTATTTAAAAAAACACATGCACACACGCACATCAAACCAAACCAACACTGTAATTTAAAAAATAATGTTTCTGTAATTAATTCATTGAGGAAGGAGTGGTACAAGGGTTTGAGCTTGGGGCTGCCGGCTTGCTAGACAAACACTTCACCACAAGCAGTCTTCCTCAAATGAATTCAAAATAATGAAAACTGTCTTCAATTGTTTCTAAACACAGATTCTGGAAAGATTACAAGGAAGACTAAGAGGCATAAAAAAATCTGTTCACTTTAGTAAAAATCTAGCTAGAAAATTTAGTTACCATCATATTTATGTTTTTTCGTCCACTGTGTGGGTAAAAATTATGTTTCTTTTAGTGAAGGTAAAACCACCATTGTTCACCTCAACCAAGACTTACCATCTTACAGATAAAACAAACACCCCCCCCAAATTAAAAAAAACAAACTAACTAAAAATTAAAGCCTAGAAAATCAAGACATTAACCAAGGTGACAAGTGTGAGAACAGTCTATAAATTCCAGGTTCCCTGACTATAAGTCCTAGAATTCCTTGCACATATGACATAAATGAAAACTTCCAGTGAGCCTTGCATGGAAGGGATTGTGTAGTGTGTATTATCTACTGAAAGTTCAAGTCTGTTTACACTCTCTAGTATTACTAACAAGGGGGAAGCTCACATTTAGCTAAAGTATCACATTTAAAGAAATTGGAGAAAGAAGTGTACTCATTACCTGACTTATGTAACTGTAACCCCTCTGTATATCACCTTTATAAAATCATTTAAAAAAGTAAAAATTGGAGATGGAAGAATTTGCTTCACAGTGGAGATTCTAGGGAAAAAAAATCACCAGAAGGACTCTGATATACTAAATACCCTAAGTTTTACTCATTTAAATCTATAGCTGATCATTCTTCAAAGGCATTTAGTTACTATAAAAATGTGCCCTTTTTTTGCAACTCACAGAATGTTTCCAGTAATAACGGAGTATTTTAAGGTACTGAGAGTATAAAAGTTCTATATGATATATCAAAAAACAATGCTATTAAATCTTCAATAAAGATTAGTAGTAACAGAACTACAATCAATAGCCAAAAAACTTAAAGCTCAGTGGCAATGGTTGTTAGTACTCAAAAGGATATAGTCAACCTTGACTTTTGTCAAAAAATGATAAGCCTTGATGTGGTTAAAAAAACCATCCAAACAGATGCATCCACTTCTCTTCCTACAGGCCTTTGGCCTTAGTCTAGGTCTAAGACCCAGATATGGCTTTTGCACAGGAGCCCAGGTCTGACATAAGTCAGTCTCTTTCTTGGTCTGTGGAGCTTCACCTTAGTATATCAGAACCATCTAAGGAGCTGGTAAGGTGGCGCAGTGGTAGAGTGCTTGCCTTGCATGCATGAGGCCCTGGGTTTGATTCTTCAGCACCATATAAGCAGAAAAGGCCAGAAGTGGCACTGCGGCTCAAGTGGTAGAGGGATAGCCTTGAGCTGAAGAGCTGAGGGACAGCACCCAGGCCCAGAGTTCAGGCCACAACCCATGAGGGAAGAAAAAAAAAAAAAGAACCATCTGGAGGAGAGGCTTAATATAACACACAGATTGCCAAAGCTGAATCCAGTCATTCTGTAGAATTCCAGAATTTGCACTTCTAGAAAGTTTCCTAATGCTCCAGCACCTGATACAGGAAATACATTTGGAAAACCATGGTACTAGAGTTGTTTGTTGTTGTTTTTTCTGGTCCTGGGGCTTGAACTCTGGGCCTCGACACTGTCCCTGAGCTTCTTTTGCTCAAGACTAGCATTCTACTGGCCAAAGCACCACTTCCAGCTTCTTCTGAGTGGTACTAGAAGTGACAGATATGCAATTTTTCTATTTCTAGTCACCAAATGACTGCCAAAACAGACTACAGATTTATAGATATAGTTAGGTTTACAGGCGATGTCTGTAATCTCAAGTGAGGGAGTGCTCACGTGAGTACACACATGCATGCATGTGTGCACGCGCATGCCTGTGCACACACACACACTATAGGGAATAAATTCTTCTGTTGTCCTTTGGCTATCATGATTGCTGGACACTATGTGACTGCAATAAGGAGCTAAGCCTTTAATAGAACATCCAGTTCTTCTACTGGTCATTTATCTCTGTTGGCAACCCCTGAAAAGGTCAGAGAGACACATGTAGCAGGGGACTAAGGGTGGGATCTCTGAGTATGGACAATTGTCTTCCAGCTGTAATAAGGAAGGCATATCTAATCACCTAACAGGTCAAGTGCTCATCTTGATAGATGCAAGGGTGTTTATCCTATGAATGATTGACCAAGAAACTTCCTGGAAGGGAATTCAGACTGAGGAGAGAACCAAAGGCCAAAGTATAGAGCTGACTAAAGGTCAGCAGGGTGTAAACTCAAGGGGAGAGGAAAACAGTGGCCAATATGGCTCTCAGGCTCTTCTTCCCTTTCTTCTGGGATTTAAATATGTTCAACTTCAGACTGTTCATGAATGAAATGGAAATGACAACACCTAACTCAGGTTTCCTTTAAAAAAAACCCACAGAGCTGGGCTCACGCCCATAATCCTAGCTACTCAGGAGATTGAGATCGGAGGATCGCAGTTCAAAGCTAGCTCAGGCAAGAAAGTCCGTGAGACTCTTAACTCCAATTAACCACCAGAAAACTGGAAGTATGCTGTGGCTCAAGTGGTAGAGTGCTCACCTTGAGCTGAAGAGATCAGGGACAGTGCCCAGGCCCACAGTTCAAGCCCCATGACTGACAAAAAAATAACAAAGAAACCAAAAAAAAAAATAAAAAACACCCAGAAAATGATATTCTAATAATAGTATCAAGCTCAGCACCAAGCACACAGTACATATACCTCATAAATGGCAGCCATTGTAATGGGTGTTGTCTTTTGCTCTCTTGGGAGATATTTGAGGTTCTACTCCCTACTTCTGCTAAGACTGATCATTTGATGTGCCACTGACACAACGGCACAGGAAATGAGCCAGTGTCAGGCCAACCACAGCTCACTAGCTACTCTGTTTTTCCTGGTTTGCCACGCCATGTGGAAAGCTGAGTGGACTGAGTGGAGATGTTCACACTAGTCTTTTTATTCACCACAATGCACTGTCAGTCATGCACCATAAAGTCAAAGAAATCCCCTGTCTTCATGGCTGCTGATGAGCAGAACTCAGGGCTAGCAAGATTAACACGGGTCTCTAAGATGCTCAATGCTTTGTAGGACCCTGTGGACTAGAAGAGTTCCATTCTGCGAACATTACCACGTTCTAACTTTCAGCCTTTCTAAGGTGACAACAGGTTGGTAACTAGGATTTAAACCACCTTTCCCTTTACTGACTGGTTATTATATGCCAGGTAAGTAAAACCACACTAGAAACAGTGAAATAAAACAATGCTTGTGCTGAGTGCTCCAAGCAGCCAGCCGCTGACCTCATGCAAGCCAAACTCACTTGGAATCTAGTTGTGCCCCTACCTCCCACGCTGAGTCTGCACTGTTTCAGTGTGCCAGGTGATCTTTAGGCATGGGTCCAACTGAGCACCATTGTCAGAGGAGTCTGGGGTATACATGAGGACTGAAGGCAAGGCATTCCAGGCAGGAAGACTAGAGGCAAGGCCTAGTGATGGGCTGAAGCTGAGATTGTGAATATTAACAAGTTCAGCTTAGTTTAGCCTGGAGGGCGCAGAAACAACAGGGAATCGGAACAAGGAGTCAGTCATTCCCACCGGCTCTCAAATCCTGGCTCATTTTATTTGTAGTTACATGGCTTTGAGAAACTCACATAGTTTCTCGGAGCCTTGGTTTTACCTACGATGCAGTGGGAATAATACCACTACTTCAGAAGGAGGTGAATTTGATCCAGGGTGCTGGGTCATGTGCCTTAGCCTTAGTCCTCACCTTTGCTAGTGTAGAACAAAGAAGGTACCACACCTTCTTTTCACAGGGAAGAATAGTGGTTTCTTTCAGCTGTTCTGATACCTAGCTGATAAACACAACCTGGCTGTACTCTAAACGCAATCAGCCTTGAGTACGTGACACATTAGAGGCAGCTCCTGCCCTTCTGTTCATAGTCCTGTCCCCCTGTAAATATGAGGACCTCAGCAAGGACCATTTATCCTGATAAAAATGAGTAAATAACAGGCACAAAAGAATGTAGAGCACTTCAGTGAGTTAAATGGAGTCAGTCAGGCATGACCCCATTAGTGACGTGACGTGACCTTGTTCAGTACGTTCCAGAAGGTTGAGCAACAGAGAAAACCCAGAAAGGTACATTTTTACTTCTCCTTGAGGAACAGCCTCATCTGCACCGCCTTTTCTGAACAGTGATACAGGTAGAGTGAGACTCCTGGATACGGTTTGCATCCCTCGAAGTTTTTTCTCTTTTATGTTTCTGGGAACTAAACCCAAGGCTTCCCATGTACCTGAGCCACACACAACCT